ATTTATATCAAAATCCTTAATGCCTCTTGAACCAATAAGGAAGAAGGACTTGAATTTTAAAAGCCAAAATGATCTGAAATTTCTGCCATCTTACAAATAACACCTGAACACCCATAAGAATTTAGTGGCTAGGGCAACACTTTTTGGGACCCTTTTCACATGCCAAGAGCTCTACTCTTGCTGTAATAAACTTCGCTTCGCTTAAAAATTTAGTGCCTCAACCCATTACCAGATTCCAAAAAAACATCCTATATACTAAAAGCCTAATATGCTAAGTATCCAGTCGACAGTTCAAACCAATCAAAATGTAATATGCTAATGATATGCTAAGGCCGCTCAACTGCTTGCTGTGACATGCACTGACCACCAGGGGGCAGATGCTCCAACCAGTAGGTTAGCTTGCTGCTGGGTTCTGGCCTATTGGGACTGAGTAAGATGGGCTGGACACGCCCTGGAGCCCTCCTGCGGTCCCTCAACGGCTGGCCAACCTCCCGCATCCCTCCCAGGCCCCGAATGTGCACCGGTGGGATCCCTCGGCCTGGCCTGCACCCTCTCACAACCCAGGACCCCTTGGGGGATGTTGGAGAGACAGTTTCGGCCGGATCCTGCAGGCCAGGCCGAGGGACCCCACTGGTGCACGAATTCATGCACCAGGCCACTGGTCTTTCTATAACAAGAGAGAGTAGGAAAAATGATTATTAATGAAAAAATCAAGGAAAGAATAATTTTCTGAGTTATAAGCATTAAAAAAAATAAATAAATATGGTTAACAGGATAATTCCCAGGGCACCAGTTTAAAAAGGATTTAGCGAACTTCAAAGATTCCAAATGTTGCTTTGGGTTAGGAATAAAAAGAATAATTAAATACAGAGGCAAATAAAACTCTGTACTTCAGTCAACATTCCTGCTTTCTACCCATATCTTTTCCCACTTTAGTTTAAATATTGACATTTACTTTCTGGTTATATTTGTGTCACCAGCTTATCTGATGGAGAATCTACAAAAGTTATTAAATTTTAAAAACTTATGAAATAAATTAAGCCTTTCTGCATATATTCAAAGTACATACTACACTCAAAGATATATTAAATCTTTAAGTCAATTCCTTTCTCCAAGAGTCTTACAATTTCATACAAATGGTAAAATATGTATATATATATATACACACACAAATATCAAGACATACAAGATAGACCCAATAAGTCTTAACAAGAGGCAGATCCTCACCGATTTCCTTCTCACTTTCATAAGCTGTCATAGGTCGAATATCCTCATTTACTTCCTGTTCTTCAAAGACCACATCTGGCTCAGTTATATACTTAGCAGTAGGAGATGCCATTTTCTTTCCCTTATGAGAACCAACATGTGTTCGAACTTCATTCCTTCTGCTTGGAAATATCTCTATATATCTATGTCAAAGCAAAAAGAGAACATCACAAATGGTGCAAAGTAATTTTACAATGAACTCATTTAAAATAAACATGCATATATAGTATTTCCAATAGCTTATGAAACACACGTGTCCAAAGATAACAGGTGATAGCAAGAACAGATATTATTAGCCCATGTAAAAGTACTCTCAACAGAACAGATCACTGATTTAATCCTCCCCAAGGTAAGTTTTCTTCATATACATCTGAACAACATTTCTACCTTGTTTTGCTTCATGAGAACAACTATGCTATAGTTAATTGTGTGTATGCAAAGAAATTGATCTGGTAAGAAGAGTTTTGTTTTCCACAGGTGGTTAACAATCTATTGAAGCTTTAAAATTCAATTCTGTGAAAATTAATCATATTCGTATAAGTGATTAAGTCACAGTATATGAGGAACTAACTTCCTCCAGAACTTCAATATGCATTTAGTTAATGAGAATTCGTGAACTAAATGTCAATTCTGATCTGCTTGGCAGTGAAAGTATCTATTAAATCTAAGCTTCTGGATCCAATTTTCTTTTTCTCAACACTGCTTTTCCAAATCAGATTATTAAAAGCTTGAACTGTAAAAATCATTTTATATAAAGACCTATAAAGATTAGGTGGGCACCACTTCTTAATTTATTATAGAGAGTTTTACATTGCCTTTACATCCCCACATAAAATAACTTTGATGTTATTTTATGTTCCAAGATACATTATAATATGAAGAGTGCTGAAAGAAAGAGAGGGGTGTTGCTTTGCATCTACTTTTTTCACTTGAAACAAATTTAATAAAGACCTTTGAACCAATTCTGTAAGTAATTCTGAAATACAATGGCTTTGGATTGGCTTGAGTACTCCTCCAAAATTAAAGTTAAAACACAAAAGAAGCCACAAATCACTCCGTGCATCCTAAGGCTGTGATTCTCAACCTTCTGGCCCTTTAAATACAGCTCCTCATGTTGTGACCCAACCATAAAATTATTTTTGTTGCTACTTCATAACTGTAATGTTGCTACTGTTATGAATCGTAATGTAAATATCTGATATGCAGGATGGTCTTAGCGACTCCTGCGAAAGGGTCATTCGACCGCCATAGGGATTGCGACCCACAGGTTGAGAACCACTGTGGCCTAAGGTGATGTGATATATAGTCTACAGAATCATCTACAGAGCATCCACACCAAAATGTTAACTTGAACCAATTCAAGACTTTAGCTCTAGCTTCCAGTTTCCGGGGGTAATACAGGATACAAAGGAACAAGTTAAATGACACCATGAGGATGCAATAAGATAAAAATAGAACATGAGACACTGTACAGGACAACTGTCCCAATTTCTGCAAAAGTCGGTGACATTTATAAAGGGAGAGGGAATAAAAAAATAAAGAAGGGGATTTGCTCTACTTTAAGAACCATCAAATAAAGTGTGGGTCATGTCTAGATTTTGGTGCCCAAAAAATCCAACTGTAACGATATATTAGGTATAATTAAGATAATGTGATTATGGATTCACATTAGATAAGTTGTTGGTAATTTTGTTAGATGTGGTAATATTGGGGTCATGTAAGAAAAGTATTTTTTAATTGATTTTAGAAAGAGAGGGAGGGAGGGAGGGAGGGAGGGAGGGAGAGAGCGAGGGAGGAGGGGAGAGGGAGGGAGAGAGAGAGAGACATCTTATCAGTTGCCTCTCACACATGCCCCGACCAGGGATGGAATCCATAATCAGGGCATGTGCCCTGACTGGGAATTGAACCTGAGACCTTCTGGTACACGGAAGGATACTCCAACTGAGCCACCCAGCCAAGGCAAAAAAATATATTTTATAGATGCATATTCAAATGACAAATACAGCAAATTACCAGGTCAATGATTTGTTAATCTAAGTGCAAGGCATTTGAAAGCTCATCATACTACTCTATTTTTCTGTTTAGATCACCTGACACTCATATTACAGTTCATTCATCAAAATGACCCAATGTGTGATACTCCTGCAGCATTAGTATCTACCTTACTCACCGGTTACCGATTTCTTCCCTGTGTTTCAATAGGGCTTGGTTGGCCATTTCTGGTTCTTCAAACTGCACATAGGCTTCTCCTGTCTTTCTTCTCCCTCTATAGTCCATCACAAAAGTAATGTCTACTATATTCAGTCCTAGGACACCAAAAAAATTATCACAAATTACTGCTGCTAACAGGAACTTTTTATACTTAAAATTAACTCATTCATTCACATACTAATTTTTTTTACTTTATTAGTGAAATTTGAGAGCTGTTTTGCCAGTCCAAAAACTAGATGCCTAATTGAAAGAAAATTATTATGCAGCCAAAAACTAGTAACACCTACACATCTATATTTCCAGAATGTTTAGGGTACAAGCAGTTCATGTAAAACACACTTCTCTTTCTATCTTTTTTTTGCCAAAATGTAATAGGAGAAATAGAGATTTAGACTAACATTACTACTAATGTAATGATGCATATTTTACAGCTAAGAATCCTAATTCATATAAATTGTTAGCCTTAATATGGACACTGCTATGAGAAACACTTATGTAATTCATAAATACTGGAAATCCAAATGAAGAGTTCTCCCCTAAAGAACCTAATATAACTGCATGCAGTTACTTAGGAAAAGGAGACAATGCGGGGAGAGGGAAGGGATAGGAGGCTCCAAATATGATAAAACTGAAAAGCACCTGCAAAGAAGTCTATAATGTCTTTCTCATTGCAACTATAAGGAAGTCCTCTCAAGCGAACCACACCATCATTTACCACAGGGGAAGATTTAACCTGCAGGCTCTTCATTAAGGCATCCACATCTTCATTGTTTATCTCATATACTACAAAGCAAATGCACAAAAGACACACCAAATTTACATAACAAAGGAATAAGCCTTTTTTAAAAAAATATCGAGAATTTTAAAATTAGTATTTTTTAAATCTCTATGTACTTCTCTGGAGACAATAACATGACATTTATTGAATATTTATATGTGCCAGGCATCATTCATTTAAACATCACAATTTGTGAGATAAACTTGGTCAACATCTTCATTTTATAGATAAGAAACAGAGATGATCCCTGTGTTTCATGTTTGTACCCTAAAAAAGGGTATATTCATAATATCTAACTATTTCACTATTGCTAAGGAGCAAATGAAACTGCCTTGGGAAATATAAAGTCTTATGTAATGATCCGGAAAAGTCACACGGTGACTTCACGTACCTTCCACATACCGCTGCCCCATGTACAAGCGGTGCTTTTCTAAGGCTTTCTGCACATCCTGCTCTGACTCCATTTCAATTAAGGCATCACCTCTTCGTTTCCCATCTCTATTTAAGAGGAAGTGTATTCCATTCTCACCATTACGGATTCTGCAGTCTAAAAGTATGTGAATAAAAATCAATTAAAACCAGAAACCAATTATTCAAGCCACTAGAATGCAATCTTCCCACACCAAAACAAGAACCAAAATGCCTGCCATATTCCTCACACAAGCCCCCATCTGAAGCTGTCCAAACGCCAATGAGGTGGTAATCTCTAAAAAGTTCCACATGAAAAAGATAAGCAAACTATACTGCATACATAAGTTTATGATCTCCTGGTCATTAAATGGCAATTTAAACTAGGCTCAACAAAAAAATGTATTATGTCCTTCTCAATGCTTCTATGGTTACATTTATGCATAAGTGTCTTCTTTTGTTATAATCACAACCAGAAAAACTCTAAAATATCTCCTATAAGAATAATTTTGCTACCATAATTTAACTTTTCTTTTTTATTACTATGAAAAGATATCCCCTTACTGCATACTTCTTATAATGGGAGCAAGTGGAAGATGTAAATGACTTTACAAAATGCTTTACCACACAATGCTATACACATTAAGGTACTTGGTATATGTTACATTGTTTTTACAACATTTAAGGTAGCATCTTCTAAAACTCTCTTAAAAGGAAAATTAAAAATCAGTCAGATGTAGAAACAAAAAAACTAACCACAGATATGTAACCCTCCAAACACATTATTAAGGAAACTATGCCATTTGATACTACATGATATTGTATTTTAAATGTTTTGCATAAAGAGCTACTCTTAACCCATGTTCCCACTAACATATTTTCACTAAACAGGTTTGGCTTTTTGATCTGTGCATATCAAAACTTCAGAGAAAACTAGCTTTATGTATTAAATTTTAGTCCTAGCATTTAATTTTTTGTTGTTTTAACATTAAATTTTTTGTTGCATTCAGTCTTTAAACCTGGTATATAAACCAAGAGTACACATGGTATCACTTGGTATGCACCAATTGACACAATTCTCAACCATCAAATAAGATGTTTACAGCACAGTTTAACTTGGATTTTGTGGGACTCTTTTGCTCAGAAAAAATTACATATTTAAAAATATACCTGAAAAAAAGCTAAGCACATCTTCGACAGTGCATGACCATGGTAATCCTTGAGCTCGAATCAGATAAACATCATCCACTTCCTCTGCTAACTTGGATGGAGGCAATTCATACTCAGGGGGAGGTGGAAGGTCTTCCAGGTAGGTAGCTTTAGACTCCTTCCAAGAGAAATGAAGAAATGTTAAGATTTCTTTGACAACCTACTTAGAAAAATGTTTACTTCTACAAACTAGTGCTCTTGATGTTATTTTTGGGGGACAGTTACTATTTCAGAGGCAATAAGTAAGATTCACAAACCTAACTCATCCTGTTTTGGCTTAAATTAAATATCCTAAAAGTAGCAAGCAGATCTATATCCTAATGGCTTGGCAGGACACACATTTTACTCAGGCCTTGTTTTTAAATTCTTCGGTGCCAAATTACACCTAATAATAGTGTTTTTGTTAAGGTAGAACGAGAGGGGTCCTTTCAATTTGACAAATATGTGAGTGCCTCCTACTTACTGTGAACCATGTTATGCCCTCATCTAAAAAGTTTACCATCCGTCAAACCTCAGAGGGAAGGTAGGGATTATTGCAAAACAGCAATAATCCCATTTGACTAAACATTAGGATCCAATTATGGGCCAAGGGCAATGAGCTGACAAAAGGAACTTGGCACCATTTAGTAGAAGGACCTGAGTGTGTCTCCTTATTCTGGTAGGCAAAGGGGGGGTGAAGGGGATTAATAAAAGACATTTAGAAGTGGATAAATCAACAAGACAGCAGGGCCGAAACCGGTTTGGCTCAGTGGATAGAGCGTCAGCCTGCGGACTGAAAGGTCCCGGGTTCGATTCCGGTCAAGGGCATGTACCTTGGTTGCGGGCACATCCCCAGTAGCGGGTGTGCAGGAGGCAGCTGGTCGATGTTCCTCTCTCATCGATGTTTCTAACTCTCTATCTCTCTCCTTTCCTCTTTGTAATCTGTCAACTGGTATACCAGACCAACTGGAAAAGGAAAAGATCATAAAGGCAGTAACAGTTGTGTGCGGTAACAGGAGCCTGAGAAACATGTAAAAACCTCTACTGCATTTTTACACAGGGGGCAGGGGGTGGAAGAGGGGATGGGAAGGATAGATGGTGATGGCCAGAGACTTGACTTGGGTGATGAACAGTTACAGAACTGTGTACCTGAAAGCCTGTGTAATTTTGTTAACCAGTGTCACCCCAATAAATTCAGTTAAAAAAAAAAAACAGCCCTATCCGGCTTGGCTCAGTGGATAGAGCGTCCGCCTGCGGACTCAAGGGTCCCAGGTTCAATTCCGGTCAAGGGCATGTACCTGGGTTGTGGGCATATCCCCAGTGGGGGATGTGCAGGAGGCGGCTGATCGATGTCTCTCTCTCATCGATGTTTCTGGCTCTCTCTCTCCCTTCCTCTCTGTAAAAAATCAATAAAATATATTTTTTAAAAAAAGGGTCCCAGGTTCGATTCCAGTCAAGGGCATGTACCTTGGTTGCGGGCACATCCCCAGTGGGGCGAGTGCAGGAGGCAGCTGATCGATGTTTTTCTCTCTCATCAATGTTTCTAACTCTCTATCCCTCTCCCTTCCTCTCTGTGAACAACCAATAAAATATATATTTAAAAAAAAAAACAAAAAACTCTATTTTACAAAACTAAGCAAAAGGTGAAATTTAGTAAGATCCCAACAAGCACCATAACTGTAATAGGGAAGACAACTCAAGTTTTTAAAATTTGCACTTTGCTGGGCTGAGCAAAGAGGTTCCTTTGTACTCAGGCGGGTTCCACGAAGACGCGTGTCTAATTCTATGGAATCGGGGATAAGTGTACCTTCAGCAGAGGTCAAGAATGCAACTAGCACTACAATTAACGTGGGTAAACAACTCCAGTGGCTTGCACTCCACTGGGCTACGGGGAGATGCTTCACTCCTGCGTATGTGCCCATCATTTTCCCAAAGACTTACATACAATGTTAAGAAGTCAGTGACAAACGGAAGCGGTGTGTAACACTAGTCTAGAGAGAGGCTCAACAGATATCATTACAGACAACATAAGAGAGTAGCCAGCTCACAAGGGCTTATTACAGATAGTTTGTTTTTTAATAAAGGCAACATTCCCCAATTTCCCAGAATTCCATAAGATCACAAGCTTTTACAGAAAAGGGCAGCAGAAAGCCTTGGGCCAGGATTCAAGTCCATTAGCTCAGCCCCTGGCAGACAGCGGCCAAGCCGATAAGCCGCCCCGTCTCGCTGAGCTCGAGGAGAAGCACGAACTGATTTAAGACCAACATGACCCGCCGCCCCAGGAGCTGGATACTCCAAAAGTGTGGTGACATTTCCCAGATGCCAGGTAACGAGCAGAAAGCAAGCTTCCTGCAAGGCACAAAATAGGTGCCATCTGAGTGCTCAAAGCGCACGCTGACTTTTAAAAAGAAAACGCGGTCGGCCCATCCATGCCTAGATCCCCACATCGCGGCCTCGGCCCTGGACGCCCCCCTCCCCCAGGATCGGCCTCCAAACGGCCCTCCCGGCGGCGACCCGGGTCCTGAAGGTCCTGCTGTCAGCGGAGGTGGAGGAGCAGAGGTGACCTTCAGGGCGGGGGCAGCCCGCCTCTC